TCTCTCAATCTCTCTACTACAATTACTTAATTTATTGTTGAAATTTCGTGAAAAATTGTGAAGTTGTTGAATTGAAGTTTTCAAGTGTTCAACGATTTTCAATTTTCAAGAAGTTGTTCGGCAATCCGGTAAACTCGTTTCAACTCTTACGTTTTTAGAATATATTTTTGTGTGGTTTAGTTTGCATAATTATAATTAATATGACATTTACTTTGAAAAAAATGTTTGGTAAAGGATTACCCAAAACCATCTATCACTATTAAAATTTGTCCCAAATTTTTGTATTTTATAAAAGAGCCCGTCATTTATTATTTTATAACAATGTTGTTTCGTCTTCTCGATCATCTGATACTGTATTATGTAGTTTATTATAAAAATGATAATTACTTACTAGATTATTTTGTATAGCTGTATCTATGTGCTTTATGCAAGTATAATACCAGATGATTCCGCATTCTTACATTTATGGGTTGTCAGTTTATTGTAATTTTCTTCTTTTACGATGGTGTTATTTTTACTAACTTTTTTCTTTATCCCATGCCCCTGAAGGAACAGATTATCGCGCAATTTAAATAAATTTCCTAACTTTAGGTCTGCGTACATATTACCTCCCCAGACCCCACTTGTGGGATTACACTAGATTGTTGTTGTTGAGTTGTTCGATTAATGATTTCCCATTACCTGCCCGAAGCTCAGTCACGGGATTTGACTGTTTGGTTTCCAGTTTCGTCCTTGTTTCAATGTGAACCTTTTTTTCTACCTCAAAAAGCCAAGGAGCAGTCTATCAACATCAGAACTTTTGCCAAAATTCCATACAGTTTTCACAAGGAAAGAATACTACAACAGTAAATGGAACAAGTTCAGAGCAATTGAGCAAACAGAGAAACCTCCTGTAGTTATTCTTTGTTTTTTTTCCCATGTTTGTGAGGTCATCTTCTTCTATAATAAAGAAATATTTGTTCACTTTTTCTAATAGTAATTTGTAACAAGAAAACAACTTTGAATAGTTTATTCAAAGCAGCCGCAGGAGGAGATATCAAACTTCTTGAGCCACCCAAGTCCCAAAAATATCAATACCAATAACAGCAGCAATATGGGGGAGAACAATCCTGTAGAAATCAAAGATTTCCAGATTGGAAATTCAGAAAAAGACGAAACAAAGAAGCAACAATTGGCTCCAAAAAGAAGTTCCAATAAAGATAGGCATACAAAAGTTGAAGGCAGAGGAAGGAGAATACGCATGCCTGCTCTTTGTGCTGCTAGGATTTTTCAACTCACACGTGAATTGGGTCATAAATCTGATGGTGAAACAATCCAGTGGCTGTTGCAGCAAGCGGAGCCTTCCATAATTGCTGCAACAGGCAATGGAACAATTCCAGCCTCGGCTTTAGCCGTGACTGGATCCTCTATTTCGCAACAGGGGATCTCTGTTTCTGCTGGTTTGCAGCAAAAAATGGGTGAATTAAGTAGCAGTATTAGTAGTAGTAGTAGTTTTTGTAGGACCAATTGGCCTATGGTTAATGGGAATTTTGGGAGACCCCATTTGGCTACAACAGGAATATGGCCCCCATCAACAACCAATTTGGCCACTGAGAGTTCAAATTATTTACAAAAGATTACTAGCTTCTCTGGGTTTGACTTACCAGCCACCAATTTGAATCCTATGAGTTTTACTTCTATATTGGGTGCTGCTAATCCCCAGCAATTACCTGGGTTAGAGCTTGGATTATCACAAGATAGTCATATTGGGGGTTTGAATTTACAATCTTTGAGCCAGATTTACCAGCAGATGGAGCATTCAAGAATGCACCATTCACAACAACAGCAACAACAAAATCAGCATCAGCAGCTTTCTCCAGAGGATGATCCTCAAGGATCAGGATAATAGAGCTTGGATTATCACAAGATGGTCATATTGGGGGTTTGAATTTACAATCTTTGAGCCAGATTTACCAGCAGATGGGGCATTCAAGAATACACCATTCACAGCAGCAGCAACAACAACAAAATTCTCCCGAGGATGATTCTCAAGGATCAGGATAGTAGAGCTTTTCACATAACATATTCCAATTTGTAGGGTACATATATAAAGTGATACTGGCGTTTACTGAGCTAGAGGCTTTTTTGGTGAATGGTTTTATTATTAGGAAATGTCTTCTTAAAAAGTGCAGAAAATCTTTATCATTCATTTTGCCCTTTAGATCCAAATGCCAAGTGGAGTGCCTGTACCTTGTTTGTTGAAATAAACATAGAAATCATATATACACGAGCAATTTTCTGTCTTCAATAACTGATTTAATCTTTCAAGGGGAGCCTTGGCGTAATCGGTAAAGTTGCTGCCATGTGACCTGGAGGTCACGGGTTCAAGTCGTGGAAACAACCTCTTGTAGGAATGTAGGGTAAGGCTGTCTGCGCAAAAATGCAATTTCTGGCACTCAATTTTGACTTAATAACTACAGAGCTAAGCAGAGCCAAATACTCAGCTCCAAAAAATAATTCTTTAAGTTGAATGCTTAGGGGGAGAGACAATAATGCTTTCCTTATTTTTGTTTGGCTAATTTTCTTAAGATGAAGCATTCTTTAGAAGATCCAAGCTTCAATAATGTGAAGTTCCATCCTTTAGCAAGTTCAATGTTCTTAAAGAGTGCTGTAGAATTGGTATCTTCTACTTGCTGTGAAAAAAGGTCAGTGCTTTACTGAGCTTCTTTTTTCAAGTCAATCTTTCAGTTAATGAAGCAGTTTTGAGAAATGTATTATTTCTGGCCATATGGCCTAAAAGTGGTCAAAGAAATATCTTTTTGATTGTACGTTCCAGTATTTTATGTATAATCTTATAGAAGAAGCATTGTGTATCATTCATGGAGTATGTTGTTATGAGTGTTGACGTCCAATTTTGTCCTACCTTTCATCAAATTAATTTTCTTGTGCTTCCTAGTTATTAATAATTTAATTCTCTATTTCACTATTTTATTATTATTATTATTATTATTATTATTATTATCACTACTACTACTACAACAATTACTATCAATTGTAGCATTATTATTATTACAACATTACCTCTATCTATATCTATACTATATTAAAAGCACGAAGGCCCTTAACGAAATGTCGTTCGCCTTTTTTACCCTTTTAAAATAGAGTTTACATTAGACAAAATAGTCATTATATTATTTTCCTTATATTTAGCACTTTAAAATCAAGTAAAATTTTGTTTATTAAAGTTTTCCTTATTTGAATTACTACACATGAAATCCTAATATTTAGGACATCCAAATAAAAAAAAATTAACTTGTGCAATCAAAAAAAATATTAACTAGACTATTTGACTAGCACCCGGTACCTACATCATCCGAAAATTACCTAGCTTTTTCCTTGTCTTTTTTGCGATTGGAATTCAAGTGTTCAATTAATTTCATCAATCCAATGTAATGAAGATACATTCTAGCCTTCTGATTTTTGCCGTCTACTTTAAAGGTTAATAAGTGCTTTGAGTAGTAAATATTTCCTCTATTTCAATTTTTGTGCTTTACTATAGTTTTTTAAAATTTGTTTTAAAAGTATCTTTTTATGTTCAGTAACTCTTTAGTTTCACCGTTTCACATGACATATTTAAGACTATTAGATTCAAGGATATTTTTATCAGCGGATACAAGATTGTATTTATTGCTAGAACAATAAAATAAAGATTTATTATATCTATCTATATTAATATCTTAATATCTATATCTATATCTATCTATCTATATATCTATATACTATATTAAAAGCACGAAGGCCTTTAGCGAAATATCGTTCGCCTTTTTTGCTCTTTAAGAATAAATTTCACACTAGACAAAAGTGTAATTTAAGCTTCTTTCCAAATTTTTAGGAATTTAAATTAACTAAAATTTTAGTACATTCCATGTTTTGAACTCCTATGAAATTAGTCCTAACATATAGGACTCACACAAGAATGGAAACAAAATATTTATGACGAAAAGAAAATTTAGAATCACCAATATTACAATTTGCTTCATCAGCCAATAAAATACCATTTTTGTGTCCATAGTTTGGTAGAAAATGTTATTGAACTTATAGACAAATTTTATTCTAATCGAATTATCATCATCTCTTTTCTAAGTATTTTAACAAATGATAATTTTTTATAGCAAGAAACCCTTAGCGAAATATTGTTCTCCTTTTTTACCATTTAAAATTAAATTTTACATTAGACAAATTTGTAATTTAATGATTGTCCTAATATATAGGATTTTAAAGTAGATATTATTAAGGATTTTAAAGTAGATATTAAAGTAGATTATCCTAATATATATTAAGGATTTTAATGATTATCCTAATATATAGGACAAATTTGTAATTTAATGATTATCCTAATATATTAAGGATTTTAAAGTAGATATTATTTGGGAAATAGGAGTAATTTTACGTTTTCTTTTCCTTGTATATCCGACGGCAATTTCAATAGAAATATGTTTCACGTTCATTCTTCTTATTGGAAACTTATAACTCTAACAAGATGTACCATTAAAAGTAGGAGATGTTGTACTAACTAAATATATATTTTAATTATTAAATGTAGTTTTAAATATTACACAAATTAATAAAGAGAATATTATATTGTTCGAGTAGGAAAAAAGTTCAAAAATAGTTTGTATTTTCTATACTATCATAAAATAATGAAATTTCAACAAATAATTAAGTATTTGGATTAATAAATTAGAGGGATAAAAATGATTCATTTTTTTCAAAATCATTATGTAAGTAAAATTATTTATCAAGTTGATAAAACTCTTAAGGTACTTAAATTTATTTTCACAAGAACTAGAGCATTGGCCATGAAAAAAAATTAGAGAAAAATTTATTTTAATATAGTATTAAAAGTTAAATAGCTAAAAATTCTAAGTTAAATCATTAAGGATGTAACATAAACAAAAGGTATTCAAAAAACGTTGTCATTATTTTTTTTATATTCATTCCAATAAATGATAGCTTCCTATATTTTTTAATATAGTATTATATTATTTTTATAATTCAATATTAGTCATTTAAGACTTTAAATTGTTATTTATCAATATCTTCGAGGTACTATAGTTCTACCTCATCACTCAAAAATTTCTAAAAGAACAAAAGATTCTGATTTTCAATTTATTTTATTATCTTTGAATAATTATGGTAAAAGTATTTTTTATGTTGTTTGTTGATAGTCTTCGATAACGAATATAACAATTAATTTCATAAGATATTTCACTCCTCATAAATCATAATAAAGCATATAAAGACTTATATGAAGTATGATCTATTTGTTTTATTGGGTTAGCTTAGTGAGATTAACATTAGGATCTTATATTTTTTAATATTTATCAATAACTCAAAATATAGTATTTAATAATATTTACGTAGTTATTGATATAGGTACACCCGCAAAACGCACACCCTAAGACTAGTATTATTAAAGGTGGGTTGTTATCTAATACGTGATATTAGCCTATATATTGTCTTATTTAATTTTGAGTATATATGTTTAAAGTAATATTGAGTTTAAATTATAAGATAAAGGAAGCCCAAAGAAGTTAAAATGAAGAAGGGAAAGGCCATGAAATTCGGCCATTGGAAGCCCCAAAACTTCTTCCACCATTTTATCAAGTAGCTAGTCCATTTAATATCAATCCAGATTAACCTACCAGCCCAATTCCTAGCCCAATACTTTGGGCCAATAGCCCCAAATACCCAATTATCAACAACCCAAACCCATGGAATCCCCTAGAAGAGACAATCTCAATCGTCAATTACCTAAGTACCCTTCCTAATCTCAAAATTCAAATTAACTATGGTCAAGATTTTCCAATCTACTTTACAAAAAGAAATCTTTCGCTTTTTCAACAAAAGATCTCTTTTCCCTTTTTTTCCCAAAATTTCTCCCTCCCACGTGAATGGCCATTTTCTTCCAACTTTCTCTATCCTTCTTTATGATCTTTTTTTTTTGTTGGTTTGAAAGATAAATATAGATTATATTAAAGATTGTGTACCGAGGCGGGATGCCCGTATTGCATCGTTTTACATACTGATGCACTGGTAGTGGGTGCTACAGTATTATAACTAACTATATTACTACCACACCTAGGATTGCCACTATTACAATACGTATTTACAATATTATAA